ATCATGCTTAATGTTTACGTAATACTAAAGACTGGGATAAATTTCAATATGTAATGGTAGTTGAAATATTTAATTGTAAGGTGAATTTGATTATTGGAAGTAGATGTTTTTATTGTAAAACTTATGTAGGAAATCATATTATCGATTAAATCATATGAAGAGGTCATTTGTTACTAGATGTTCCGGATAGTTAGTGTTCATGAAATAATTATAATAATTTCAATGGTTGAGATCATGAGTCAGTTGAAGCTAGACCACCATGGAAAACCTGGAAGCACCGTTACGTCCTATTGTGGGACTTCTAAGCAGTGCGCTGAAAATAGTACAAATTTGTAGCTCAGAAACATTTTGAATGTATTATGTTCTCTAAACTGGCTAGTTTACTTATGAAATTTTCATTGTCTTTCTAAATAGTATTATTAACACGTAAAAATAACTAGACTTATCAGATTATTTGAGATGTTAGATGTAAACTCGAATGTAAGTGGAGGTTTTGGAATGAAGTAATCAGTAGTATGAATCTGAAATTATGAAAATGTATGAAGTTTGCTGGAATTACACAACTACCATGTTCATAAGTGGCTATAAATTCAAAATATAGGGCCCAAGTTAGGTGCAAATTATTCTTCGTGTTAGTTAATTAGAATATATTAAATAACTTTTAATATGTTATTTGTCAATAATTGATTACCGTGTCATCCAAACATGATGAAAATAAGACGATAACATTAAAGTGAACTATTTCATTGAATACATCTTAGAAACATGAAAGGTAAGATTGTTATATCCGAGAGAAGATTAAATCACGAGTAACTTCTGAGACATATTAATTGACTAATATTATCTATACATTCTTATGGTGTAACTATTCGATAATTAGATCATGTATATTGATATTCCTCTTATTATAAGCTTATTTTGACCCATAATTTATTATTGTACGATTTACTGTTTTTAAGCTGTTCAGTTTATTAACTACTGCCTCCCACGTTCACAGTCACTTTTTGGCTTTATTGTGTACAAATGTTATTTCCTATTTTATGGTGCTTTGCGGTCTGTTTGGTTGATATATAAACCCAGTATGTCTGAGATAAATGATTCGATTCGCATATTGGAAGCTGGTATTTGGTGTTCTGTACTCAAGTGGACGGGCTAGGCGGACAAAGGACCAATAAGGACGCTAGACTGCCCATACCGGTCGAACGTCATTGGTTTGGCACAGTGCTAAGACTGGATAAGTCGTATTCTGATTGGTGGATAAATCACGTGATAAAAAGCCGGACATAATGTCACAACAAAGATTACATAATATTTTTTTATCTATCATCCAATTTTTAGCAGTGTTATTTTGTTTTCCTGTAAAACAATCAGCATAAAATTATTCTGAGAAAAGTTGGTGTCTAGATATTAGCGTTTCACTGACTTCTGGTGAAAGAAACATATTCGACGAACTATTGTTTGTAGAATACTCAAAATGTTCACCTAATTTCTACAGATAACTTACACCAATAGTATAAGTTTTCCAAAAAAGCTTTGATCTACTCATTCAACTAACGGCTGGAAACATCAAGCTACGAAAATAATTTCAGTCATTAATAAACTTCAATAGAAAAGATATTGTAATGGTTTTCAATTCTGCTAATAAAAAATGCGTTGTGGAACATCAGGATTAGAATCCAGTGGTTGTTAAAACATCGACTATTAATGAATTACTTTAGAGAAAAATTTTAAGATCATACAATCGCACGACAACATTTAGATCACCAATGTGGACATATGTCATGGTGATCTAGCTTCAATTGACTTATGATTTCAACTAATGAAAATGGATCACACGAATATTGTAACAAATCTTAGTAAGGAAAACATTCGACTATTGAGTGATCTAATAAATTTAAATGAGTTAAGGCATATGTGGTTTGATTATTATTTATTATTATTAATTTAACACATAGATATTGGTACAAGGAGGCAGCAAATACATATACGCCACACAAATCCCATTCAATCTGTGAGAGGGCTGTGATACTGTCCCGGGTGCCCAAACCCAAGTAGGTGGTTTTCTTAGGGGGCCACAGCCGGAGCCTTCGACCTGATGGTCTGATCCACAAGGCAGTAGAGCATCGAAAGGAGATGCAGTTCCATGGTAGCCGGTGACCAACAATTGGTTCATACGCCATTTATTCCCTCAGGATACTGGAGCCCATGTGCACCATTGGTTTGGAATCCGGTTAAAGCGCCGGACATTCGCTTTTCGTAAACAACACCCCCGAAAATGTGGTTTGGTACTCTATATAAGTTCACTAAATGAAAAAAAACAGTTTGAAAATGCTTTTTTCTCTCACATTCACGTAAGTTATCCAAGAAGAACTGAATAACTGTTTAGTTTGAAACTTTTCAGTAGGGTAAATTTGAGCCCTGAATACACGACAGGATATCTAGTACAAATGAGTTTTTCAGCAAGACAATATTTCTCATACATCACTTAATTGTATTCATTGGCAAATTGACAATCTATATGCATATTTTGTAAAACATCCTGTATTGTCAAAACTTAGGGAAATGTTAACTTAATTTAATTGTAGTGATTAAAATTGTTTATAAAAATAACTTATCGATCACTTGTGTTAAGATAATAATAAAAGGTCGGTTTCATGGACTTATAAATCCAAATGATAGATAATATGCATGAATCGATACTTTGTCCTATTTCCAGATGAAATGCATCTAATATATGGATATTTGATTATGATGAATAGGTGGAATATTCGTCAGTACTGAACACTATTAGCTTTTACCTGAATGATATGAGATGAAAGTTTTAGAATGATGAATGAGATATTGTTTAGTCAGTATAAGTATCCATAACATTATTAAGAACACTTTATGTGAGAAAGTGAGTAAAACAATTCTCTTATTTTAGTATTAGTTTACTAGATCTCCATGAAATAACTGGATGACCTACTGCTTTTTAAAAATATTTACAATATATCCCTCAATCCTCATACATGAACTTAACCGTAGTATGCATTAAGACCACAGGATTCCTTTTGAGGAAAGCAAAAGGTTCATTTAAGACTAAAACTTTGTCCAATCTTAAAGTATACCACTCGATTTCAAACTGTCCGGTAAATCTTTGATTCAGTAAAATGGAAAAAAAACTCATCAAGGTTGAATTAGAAAACAACGAATTTATTACAACTAATATGAATGATTTTATTAAAATTCACCATATTTATAAAAATATCGTGGGTGCTCACTGTTGAGGAGTCACACAATAGGACGAAACGGCCGTCCAGTGCTTCTAGGTTCTTCATGATGATCTAGCTTCAATTGAATCGTGATCTCAACTATTGAGAAATATATTTCTTACAGTATTTTTCAATATAAAACTACTTAATATACGAAATTCTTTTCAAATTTATTATTTCATTATTTTCACGTTTCCTTTTCATTTTAATTGAAACGAATTACTGGTTAAAGGAAAAAAATTAACTGCAATCGCGAGGAATCATAAAATATTTATTAGGAAAAAATACGATGATCAGGCACATACATTCAGGACATCTTGATGTCCAAGTTGATAGTTATTAAGGAACAAATAGAATAATCACGACTATCACCCTTCTTTGTGGGTGTCGATTCATAAATCAAACTAAACATTATTCATTCATGTCAGCTACAATGTAGGACCAGGAACATCGGTCCAAGTTGCCATACCGCATTAGCACAGCAAGATGAACACCGGATTCATGGAAGTAATTAATTCAATGGTACTAATATATAAAAGAAAGATTACATGTATGATTGGTATATGCATATCGTCATACAGATTAGTAACAAATTGTTTGACTTATATTTACACATGCTCAAGTTTCATATTTTAATCATGGGAGATTTCCATTTATTGCAATAAGCAATTATCCTATCTGTTTACATTTTTATTTAAGACGGTTTGCCTTGTTTTTCGGGTAGGTTAGCATTTTTTTCTACCGCATTTATTGTTGTTCTTTTATGTATGCTACTCTTTGAAAATTTCTTTAATTACGAAAAGTGACATGTTATTCCCGGTTATTTGATAATTGTGTTTTAATCTTATCTTTATTTAAGTAGTTGTACGGCACTCTCTATCTACGTGGTTGGGATTTCGATGTAACAGATTTCTGAACACTGAGATTCAATATTAATAAATTCTGAGTGTTAATACTTTCCTTATTAAATTATTTGTACGTAGTACTAGAAATATACCTTATTATTATGACAGAATACTTCAATCTTCACTCAGGGACTTAATGACATTATAGAGGTAATCCACATGGGATGCACATATACCAAAAGAGACTGATTGATTTCAGCCCTAAACATAAAAGGGGATATATATATATATATATATATATATATATGTTTGAATATTAACAAATCTGTAAATAACGTCTAGAAACTACTCATTGATGTCAACTGATGAACAGTATTTTACACAATCAACTAAATTGTTTGTATTTAACACATGATAATCCAATATAGCTATTATACACTCCACTGTGGCAACTTCAGAGCCTCACGACATGGATCCTACTGTAACCTTAGTGATATTAGCAATATGTCCATATATCTCAACGATTACAATAGGTCATCTCTCCAATCAAACCACTACTCGGCGTACAGAACCTTTCTTTAAAAAAATTCTGACTTGATAACGCATAACAGAAACACAAACGGTAACAAAACTTTAAAAAGTGATCCAAATGAACAGAATTTGGTATTAAGTTGCAAAAGATTAACATCAAATAACTTTGTTGGCAATGGTTATGCGACCACTTCTTAATACTAGTGATGTTAGAGTTAAGCCTAAAAATTCTGTTGAGATTCAATTTATCCAAATAACCTATAATTGCTGAAACATCAACTCGTTGCCAACATTAATAGACAACGGAAATAAATGGTAAATATACTGGGGAAACGAGTTTGATAAAGAGAACAACAATGATGAATTCAGGAAACTGCTTCTAAAAAAAACGAGATTTTACTGTTGATAAGTGGTGAAATCAACCACACAAATATACATACAATTTTTAATTATTATCAGATATACATTCACTTTCTGTGTCAGAACTATCAGAGAATGATGGAAGCATATCTTCTGGGATATAATTGTCATTCTTTATTGAGGATTCCTTTGATATGTTTACAGTAAAAGTTTCCGGCCTATAAAGAAGTGATAGGGAAAATAATAAATATTACTCAGCCAAAAAAGCGGTTGAATTTATTTGGTAATTAAAATAGTATACCAAGAAATCTAGACACAAACGAATCGCTCAGCATAGCATTTAAAAAGCTGTGACCAATTCGTGAATAAAACCATCGGTTGTATTTTTTCAACGGAACAGTTAGCAATTAAAACTATGATTAAATACTTACAACTCAAAACGATAGTTGACACAAATAGAATTAGAATTAAAGAGTGTAACTATATCATAAAAGTAATGCAGGGACTAGTAAGCTAAGTCGTACATGTTGTCAGCACAAAATGAATGTATAACTAAAAATTGTTTTCACTTACTGGGGTGCAGGTTGAAATCAATTCTAACTGTTTATGTTTAGGGACCTAGGTATTATTGCTAGAACCCACTCAAAAAGATTGATTCACTGAATAAAAGGTGATTAATAGAGCTACGTTTCATATTAATTAATGATTCTGTAGCTTCTGATATTCTTTATTCAGAGCTACACCAGAATTTCAGTTCACATCAAAACATAAGTAAAAAAGTATTAAAAGGCTGGATATATATGATTTAGTATATGATTTGTAATAATTTTATTTAACACACTCCGAGTCCAGTTTTCTGTATATTTTATTAGTGATTATCGAGGAGTGTATTGGACATAGTCAACAATTACGCGAAGCCAGAAGTGGCTATGAGGGTCAAGAAAACGAAAGATAAGCCCTTCAATAAGACAACAAGGGCTCTCCCAAGCACTTAACGACAGATGTTGGTATAGATTATAGTATTTTTATACCGATTTATTAGATGACTATAAAAAACTTATAAATATTTTGATTGAAATCCACCATAAAGGACATTAACTAATTAATGTCATGTCTTAAGGCAGCATTAGAGTAAGAGCTTGGTGACGATTGATCAACCACGCGGCCTAAATTGTTGCTTTCTAGAGGTCGTACTACCTCAAAGATTGTCAGTGTGTAGACATGTATTGAGTTACTGAAAACTGTCCAAATGTTTCGTACTACGATTTGTACTATTTATAAATTATCAGTAGCTACAAATTTATGCATAACTTGTGAAAATGTTAAGCCAAACGGTGGATACAAACTTGATTACAGCCTGTCCGATCCAGAACAGTGGTTATGAAATGTAGGTTATCGTTGACTTATTTATTAGTCAGGAATACCAATTATTAATAAGAGCAACAATAAATAAACTTACGCCTACCTAGAAAAACACTACAGAGCAATTTCGAAATACTAATGTATCTTTAGGTATATTCTACACCTTGAAAACATGAAAACAGCTAGTGTATTCGTTTTACGAAACGCTAGTAACATTTTTCATACAACACTCAGGTTACGTGATGATTTTTCTAAATATTAAATGTCTAGTCCTAACGAATGTTAGTTGATAGAAATATAGAAGAGATAGATCTAACTGCTAGTTCTTTCTTACATTTTGAATCCTTGATACATTTTAATAAAGTGAGAAGAAAAAGGATTCCAAAATAACATGAATGCACTACATTTCAAAGCTTCTCACCAGTTTCAAACGACCTGAAGTTACAAATGATTATCATACTACAAACAGAGTTTTTCATACCTTAATTACTGAAGTTGGTTTTGAAGTGACACAGAAAAAACATACGAAGTACGGAAAGAAAACAACCTATTTCATATAATAGTTAAGACTGGTTAGTATTTATATGTAGAAAATGAATTCCCATGCAAGCACAACGTCGAATTGTACATAAATATGGTTTCTGACCTGAGAAAAAGGATCTTAATGTGGCATGTATGTTTTCAGCTAAACTCACAACGCGTTGTCAAATGATGATTTTATTATTATGGCTGGTAGTCAATGAGGGATAAAACATCAACATTTGGTAATTTCAGTCCAGAAGACAGAAGTGCAGATTACAGGAATCGGCTGAAAACCGAACACTATTAGTTTTTACATTCTGGCATTCCATCACATTATTGATAATAATGATAATAAGTAATGCAAATAATTTACGAATAAGACGATATAAAATTATGGCACGACTATTAACATATTATACACTTACCAACGGCCTTCATTAATCAGAGCCTTAATATTATCCTTCTGTAACACAGTTCGAATTTCTCCCTTCACCTTTTTGCTATCCAGCGGTGAACAGACAACAAAACCACCTTGAGCAAAGTAGAATGTATTGCGAAATCTTTCTGGAATGGATACGAAAACTTCCTCTCCCTGTTCTGTTATCGCAGTGAACAAATAGTTGCCGCATGATTTGACTAACTGGAGATCAGATTATTTATTTATAAAGTAGTTTGTACCTTACAAATGATTTCATTTGATTCTATGGTATGAGTATCTTTAAAAAGTTCCTTTTCTGCCTTTTTACGCTTAGGCACAGAGGAGGGAAGAATCATTCTTGCTTTATAGGATTTATAGATTAAAATGTCGTCTTACAGATAACAGCTGTGCAAAACGTGGAATCCCTAGAAAACAGATTAACAGTTAAATTTTACCATTGGAATAAACGTATAATAGAGGTGGATGAATTCTATAAAAAACACTCTTTGTGTGAACTGAAAAGTTGGTTGACTAAAGTGTTTGAAATCGCAAACTAAGTATTTGTTTAACAAAAATATAACCCTCTTACGAAAAAGAGAATGGTCTTGCAAAAACCTCATACATCTTACCTGTGTAGTCAAGTAAAACATAACGAAATGATACATGGCATAAAACTACTACATTATCCAAGTGAGGTAATTCAATATTAAAAGTGTAGACCTTTTATTCAAAATTCACCTAATATATGAAGCATTTTACAGGTAAATTTTCGAGTAATTTTTCATAAACTACTAGTGAAACAAATTTAATATCACTGTATATACGGTAAATCGATCACTTTCTGCCTCTTGACACTGATCAGAAAGATTACAATGCCAAGAATTATATTGCAAACCAATGGTGAAACTGTTGGTACATCCAATGTGCAAACAGTTATGATTGAACATGCTAGCAAAACTTCCAATCACATTGATACTTCACGCTTTTAACTTATTACATACACTTTATTATTGTGGAGGTGTATGTAGAACAACATAGTCCAAAAATCTATGTAAATCAGTACGTTGGGAAACAATCAAGGATATATATGGAAAGATACCTATCGCAAAGATTTCGTTTAGTTTACTGCTTCTATTCTATTTTTCTGATTGATGATGATTTTATTAACTACCTAACTGGACTGAAACTACCTAACGTAATACTACTTATTTCTACTCTTCATAATAATGACATATCACTCTTTTTACTGCTAAATTCAGGATTTTACATACAGCGTTCTATCGTTAGAAGGAATCGAAAAAAATGACAATACATCCTGACATCCACTTAAGACAAACATGTTTTTGACAAAAAAAGTGCTTGGCAGATACATGTAAATAAATTTTAATGTACTTTGTTGCTTTTTATACCGATGAAACAAACTTCAACCGACTGGAAAATGTTTTGCTGCAAGCTTACAGCTTAATACTTTTATATAATAATCACAATTCGATCTGGTCAACGAGTGAGCGATGATGTTTAAGTAAAATTACTATTGAAATAGGTCGTCAACGTTGCATACGGTCGAATCAAAGCAACACCCATTGAGGCTTAATGAAAAACCTATTTCAAACTGTTATCCCTGAATCACAACTACGATTTGATGGCTAACATAAAATTTATAACCATGTTTCCAAATTTTGACTTAGAACCTATAACCAGATCCCTATGACCTAAAAAACGTTCACAAAATAGACGCAATTAGCACTTTAGGGCTAATTGAAGTTTTATGTGTGGGCTAACGACTGTAAAATACCGCGCAAATGCTTCAACGCTTTACCAAATATATACTCTGGGAGTTTGAATTTGTACATTGGATAAATTGGCGACTACTTGATTGCAGTTCCAGATGAAGAAACAACTCTCCAAAATGTGGATCTTCATTTGGAAGACTCCGAAAACAAACCATTAAGGCGAATATTTAGAGGCAATAAATTGGATCACTGCTTCTTAGGATATATCGATCGCTTCACGCAATGGTCTAAAGTTGTGCTCATCACAGAAATCACTGGTGAAACTATCGCACGCGCTTTAGGCGAACGATAGATTGCAAACTTTGGCTGCCGACTACCTATTAAAAAAGACCATAGATGCCATATTGAGACTGGATTGTTTTACACCTTGATGACGTTTATAGACATAAAACGATTTTGAATGATCTCATATAGTCCCCAAACATATGATGTTATAGCAAATTCACTAACCATCACTTCACTTTTTTCCTTGAGGATACAGCACACTGAGTGGACGTACTTCTACTTTTACTAGTAACTCGTACTCCGGTAAAGGCTGATGCCGGGTGCACTGCACATTAACCCGTTTATGACTTGACCACACAAATCCCAAGAGGATATGTGAACTTTTTACATTCACTCAATATGGGCCTAACCCACGCCCTCAGTAAGTCAGTCAGCTACAAAGTAAGACCAAGCACATATATGCATCGGTCCAAGTTACCACACCTCATTAACACAACAAAATGAACACCAAATCCATAGTAGTTACTTCGGTCAAGCCATACCTAACGCAATACCAACCCTTGTACTAAACTGCATATCTGGAAAGTAACTTCTTCAAAGTTGATCTCCCGATGGCACCAACCAAAGACTGCATGTTGTAGATTGCCATAAAACATCACTCGCTTTCATGTTTACCGGAGAATAATGAATTTTTATATACTGATGTGAAAATGAACGAAAAAGACTACACGAAAATTTTTGACATATTTCTGGCAAACATTTGTATCGAAGTACATTTAGGGATTCTCTGGCATTTTAGACGCATAGTATTTAGATTAAGTAGCATTCAACAAACGCATTAACATAGCTCCGGTCTAACAGTCTATATGAAAACAGTCAATCAGCAACACGCTTATAGGACAACGTAACAAAATTTGTAGTTTTATCCAAAAGTTTTGGAAATTGGGTTAGACAGTATATACTGTCCAAAATAATAATGATGAAATTTCCGCACCAGAAGCACAAGTTGTAATAAGATCGAGTTCAGAACGATGAAGATTTCTACTCGTGATTTAAATATAATCTGATAACTTACTTTCCTACGACACAAACAAATACAGTACACTAAGACTTAAACTTTTTAAGAAGCATGTACTCTGTAAGGTCATTTCGCAGCCGCCTGCTGCTCAATCTCCAATTGCATCGCACAAATATGCTATATGTTAAAATAGCTATGATCAGAACAGAGCAAACTTACGGTTGAGGAGCTTCCATTACTAGAAGTGATGAAACACTGATGACTCCAGGTGGGAGCTAAGTGATTACTTGGTGCGAAAACCTGTGTACCCCAAGTACCTAATTTGTTCTTAGCTTTTGTACTCCCGTCGTATTTCCTCTGAGCTGTGCTAACCTTGTAGCTAGATAACGAGGTGATATGCTAGGTTAAAAATGACTTCTTAGTATCCTAAACATCGAAACCGGCCCACCTAATCTGCGACCAGACAGAATTGAGAGGTCTATAAGATCCTGCTCTGAGTCTTTAAGAATATATATGTCTGGGTTTCAGACCCTTTTTTAGGTAGTAGATCAAAACACTCGACTTCTTGTAAGGAGCAGAATGCATGTCTACAATCCAGTTTATCATGTTCCACCTATGAGGTTAGTGTCTGGGCGTAAATTTATTAGGTGTCCGATATGATGACCACGAGCGTTTAGGATTTTTTAAGTCACACGGAATTCTTGACTGTCTCTTACACGATAAAATATAGGAACCAAGTGGCTTAAGGCTCTCCTGATAAGTCTTGCGTTTGGGCCTCCAAACTGATTAACTGATTCTCTTCCAGATAATCTCCTCAGAATTTATATCCTTTAACAGTGAAGAAAAGAATACCATATCTTCATATACCGAGTAAAGTTGATTGAAATAACTGAAAATTGGATATAAGACCACTGTCAAACTGACAGAATTGATGCTTCCAACTTACTGGTGAGTGTTGTTCTCTGCTGTCACTTTTGACATGTGATGACATTTTAAGTTATCATCATTCGCGTAGTGCGTTCCTAGGGGTCAGTTCTTCATGTTAAACATGGAGTTTGCGAAATTTCTCATGCGCATCAAACGTATTACAGACTTTCGTGCCTATCTGGTATATATCGTTCCCCAATTCTGTCACATTTAAACGTCCGGAATTCCGTCGATCTTTTGGCAAGGCGTTTAAGCTCGGTCTTACAACTGATAGTAAAGCTTAGCACGGCATGGGCACCCTCTCCAGATCTCAACAAAACCTATTAGTTATCAAATAAGAATATAAAGTCAGTGAGAACTTCAATGTAGTCATCCTATCTGTCGCATGTATATTTAGTCAAATCATTCCATGGAGACTAAATAAATTTGTATTAAAGTTCAAGAGAGTATAGTAATCCTCCCAGCATCTCATGGCCGTAATGAATACCAGAAGTAGACTCTAAGTAAGCAATCTTATCCAAATGCTAGATACACAAGTGGTGAACAAGTCATTTTCGCAACACTAAATTCTGTTCATACAAAAGCGATTGTTAGTTCCCAAGAATTCCATCAAATATAAAGGAATGGTGCGGATTAATGTTCGTGATGCACAGAAAAGTATTCGCCAAGTAAATTGAGCCTTTCTGTACTGTGTTTCAGAATTTAAACAGCCAACTTTGTTTGACTCTGTTATTTGACAAATAATCGCGAGCTCTCATCATTACTTGTCATCTTATGAACTAATCATACTGATAACAAGCACATTTTTGTGCTTCAGTCATGCCATTCATCCTCGACCATATCAATCGTTTCAAGCGTGAGCTTGACATGTGAGATACTAGATGCTGAGATAAGTTATATTCTTTTGTTTACCATGTATTTAATATAAGTGTGACATCAAATTGTCCACTCTCATGCTTTAATATCATAACCATAAGAGAGTTACGCAACACATAAAAGAGTTTAACTCATTTATACTCATGATTCGAATTGAAACTTGTATGTCCACTAGCTAAATCGAGGTACTATGAACAAATATTACACAATAGAAGGCATGTTTTCACTTCATGTCTACGGACAGCAGACTCAACCTCTCTTATAGCTCTTGTAAAGTTATCTCAAGCTCGAGCAAAGAGGGGAGGCCGGATATAAAATCAGTGACCCGTTAACCTCTGCCCTTTGAGTTGAAAGATCTTCACTCGGAAGAATTAGGATGCATCATGAAGGAAGCCAGGGTTCTTCGGAAGTCACGAGTCTGACGCGCCTTCTAACAACCAGAGCAACAATCGACATGGGGGCATGGAATATCCGGACAGTGTGAGAGACCGCGGGAACCAGTCAAACTGCTACGGAAATGAAGAGATACAGCTTGGTGGTGCTGGGAATCAGTGAAAACCATGGGACCCAGTTTGGACAAAAAAGGACAGATATGATTGCGATGCTGCTGTACTCTGGTCACAGCGAGAAAAATCGCCCGTATACTCAGGCAGTTGCCCTGTGCTGCCCAAAAAAGCACGTAGAGCATCTATACGATGAGAATCCCATGGATCCAGAATTATCAAATCCTCATTCAAAATAAAGGAGATAAACACAATGAATGTTATGCATTGTTATGCACCCAATAGTGATAACAGTGAAGACAATAAAGATCTGTTTTACTAAAGGCTGCAACAGATCGTAGAGAACTGCCCAGGACCTGACCATTCTGATGGAAGTCTTAAACGGCAGGGTTGGATTGACAAAACCGGGTATCGAGATATCATGGGATGGTATGAACTGACTGACAAAGCTAAATATGTCTCACAAGATCTCACTACAGAGAATCAGATCCATCATATTTGCACCACTGAAAATTTCGCAAGGTCAATGGAAAACGTGAAAACCAGGAGAGGAGCTCACATAGCTAGCTTCAGATCACCGCCAACTGGTGGCTGTCAAGATGAAACTGAATGTAAAAAAGCACTAGACAACTGAAAAACAGCACTACAAGGGTTCAACACAGCCTTCCCTCGACATACTGACAAACTCAACGATCTTAAGATAACTCTCAATAACAGATCCAAAGCCTTACAAGATCTACTGAAAGAAGAAAACACTACTATGTAGGACAACTGGGAGGGAATCAAAGAAGCACTAACTTCAATGCGTCAGGAGATTCGGGGACACAAGAATTATCACCACAAGGAATGGATCCCTATCGAATTACTTGACTAGATTCGGTAAAGGAAGAACAAGAAGACAGCAATCAACAACAGTCGAACAAGAACAGAGAAATTCGACGCACAGACCGAATACACCAAAGCAAACAAGCAAGTGAAGAGAAGCATTAGAGCCGACAAGCAGAAATACGTGGAAGACTTAACAACGACTGCGGAAAAATCTGTAAGAGAAGAAAATGTGTAACAACCATATCACACAACGAATAAACTGTCTGGGAAATACAGGAAACCAGAGAGACCGGTCAAGCATAAAAAATGCAAGACAATCACCGAGATTCAAGAACTGAGCAACAGATAGGTGGAATAATTCGAGGAACTCTTGAATAGACCTGCTCCATTAAATCCACCGGACATCGAAGCACCATCCACAGACATTCCTATACGTGTCACTCCACCAACGATCAAACAAGTCAGGATGTCCATCAAATAAATCAAGAGTGTGAAAGCAAATGGACCTGATAATATATCATTCGAAGCACTAAAGTTAGACACAGAAATAACTGCAAACACGCTCCACGTTTTATTCGGGAAGATTTGGGAGAAAGAACAAGTGCCGACATACTGGAAATAAGGATATCTCATCGATATAACAAAGAAAGGGGATCTGAACAAATGTGGGAACTACAGAGGAATCACACCAATAGCGGTAACAGTAAACGTTTTTAACAGAGGGTTGTTGAACTGAATGAAAGTATCAGTAGACACCCAACTCCGAGATCAACAGGCCAACAGGATTCTGTTACGATCAATCGTGAACAAACCAAAATGCGTCACTATGGATCATTGTTGAACAATCAGTGGGATGGAATCCATCAGTACACATCAACTTCCTTGACTATGAGAAAGTATTTGACAGAGTATAAAGAAGAACCTCATGGAAACTTCGTCGACACTATGGTGTGAAAATCGTCAGCATCATCCAGAGTTAATACGAGCAACTAAACTAACTCCACCTGAAGTCCCTCCGGGGGCTACTGCCGGTCCAAAACCCGGATAAAGGAGGAGGGTTGAGCATGAGGTTAGCGACCCCATCCCGTAAAAAACTAACTCGCTAAAAAACGCTAATCAGAAAAAATTATTCAAACCATTTAAAATCTGTCCTGGGAGTCAGAAGATCTTCATTTAGAAGAGTTATGACGATTTATGTTGAAAGCCGAGTTCCTTCGGAATCCGATGTCCTTTCTGACAACCAGGGCGACCATTTATTTAGGTACATGGAATGTTCGTACAATGTGGGACCCTGAGAGAACCTTCCAAATTGCTGCAGAAATGAGGAGACACAACCTAGAGGTGCTTTGGATCAGTGAAACACATTGGACACAAGTTGGACAACAACGACTAACTTCAGGGGAGCTTCTGTTATACTCCGGCCATGAAGAAGAAAATGCTCCACATACACAAGTAGTTGCATTGATGCTGTCCAAACAAGCACAAAATGCACTGATAGGATGGGAATCTCATGGACCAAGGATCATCAAAGCCTCGTTCGAAACAAAGAAAGAGGGTATTTCAACGAACATCATCCAATGCTATGCACCTACCAACGACTACGATGAAGACGCTAATGATCAATTCTACAATAGGCTGCAGTCAATCATTGAGAAGTGCCCAACAAAGGGCCTGACCATTCTGATGGGAGATTTCAACGCCAAGGTTGGAACGGACAACACTGGATATGAAGACATCATGGGACGACACGGACTGGGAGAAAGAAACGAAAATGGTGAGAGATTTGCAAATCTATGTGCCTTCAATAAGCTGGTCATTGGCGGCACCATATTCCCACATAAACGCATACACAAAACCACATGGACTTCACCGGATCACTCTACACAAAACCAAATCGACCATATTTGCATCAACAAAACGTTCAGGAAGACTAAAGAGGACGTGAGAACCAAGAGAGGAGGTGATATGGCATCAGATCATCACTTGCTGGTCACCAAAATGAAATTGAAACTCAAGAAGCATTGGACAACGGGGCGGACAATATCACGAAAGTTCAATA